GTCTTCCATCCATCCACCATGGCATGGCTAGGAAAGACAGCTAGAAGCGTCTGCATAGAGATCTTATAGGGCAGCGTAAGGGGAGTGTCTAGGGGTATGCACAGACTCAGGATTGGTGTGCCACCAGGCTTGGAGGGTTTGCCCTGTGTTGATTGGTCAACCGGCTGTTATGGCCCATAGGCCCTCCCCGGGTGGTTGCTATGCTCTGCGAGTCATTGCTGTGTACTTGTCTGTAAAGCACACCCAGAGCCGTAAAGCATAGCACCACCAGCTAACTTCTGATTGATTCCTTGCCATGAGGCAGGCATTTGACCTCCTAGTGTGACCAAGGCAAGGTCAGACAAACACATGTTCAGCTGTTATGGCTGTTGAAATGGGGAGCTGGTCCCTTCAATACTTCATCTATAAATGTTCAATATTTAGAGCTTAAAAATAAGGACATCTCTTTTGTTGTTTTGTCTTTTTTTATTTAAATGAGAAACAATCTTATTTTACATATCAATCCCAGTTCCCTCACCCTCCCACCCCCCCATCCCCTGTCCCACTCCCCAGGGAGAGTGAGACCTTCTGTGGGGGATCATCAAAGTCTGTCACATCATTTGGGGCAGGGGCTAGGCCCTCCCCCATGTGTCGAGGCTGAGAGAGTATTCCTCCATTTGGGGGAATGGGCTCCCAAAGTCTATTCATGCACTAGGGATAAACGCTGGTTCCACCACAACAGGCTCCATAGACTGCCCAGGCCTCCTAACTGTCACCCACACTCAGGGGGGCTGATTTGGTGCTATGTTGGTTCCCAGCTTTCTGGCTGGGGTCCATGAGCTGCCACTTGCTAAGGTCAGCTGTTTCTGTGGGTTTCCCCAGAATGATCTTGACCCCTTTTCTCAACATTCCTTCCTCTCTACAACTGCATTCCAGGAGTTTGGTTCAGTGCTTAGCTATGGATCTCTGCTTCTGCCTCCATCAGCATTGGATGAAGGCTCTAGGATAGCATATAAGTTAGTCATCAGTCTCATTATAGGGGAAGGACATTTAAGGTAGCCTCTCCCCTGTTGCTTAGATTCTTAGTTGGGGTAATCCTTGTGGATTTTTGGACATTTCCCTAGTGCCAGATTTCTCTTTAAAGCTATAATGGCTCCCTCTATCAAGGTATCTCTTTTCTTGCTCTTCTCTATTCATCCCCCAACTCAATCTTCCTGATCCCTCATGTTCTCCTCTCCCTTCCTCTTTCTCCTACCTCCCCCCCGACCTTTCTCTCTCCTCCATGCTCTCAATTATTAGGAGCTCCATTTCCCCTTCTCTGGGGGACTATGTAAGGACATCTCTTTTAATATAACCATAATGACATTGTCATACACTAATAATAATAACAAAAATAATTCTTTAATTTTAGAGACTGTCCACAAGATGCTTAAATCTTCAGGTATCTCCCACATGTTTTAAAGTTTGAGTAAGGATTCAAATGACTACAATGGGCTTGGTGCATCATTTAAGTTGGTGTTGGTCTGTAGTTTCCTTTTTTTCCCCCTCTTTGTTTCTTCTTACCATACTTTGTATTTTTTTAAAAGATCTCATTTATTTATTATGTATCAACATTCTGCTTCCATGTATATCTGCACACCAGAAGAGGGCACCAGATCTCATAATGGTGTGGTTGCTGGGAATTGAACTCAGGACCTCTTGTGCTCTTAACCTCTGAGCCATCTCTCCAGCCCCCATACTTTGTATTTTTTAAGGAAGTCAGATAATTTGTCACAGAGTTTTTCACAATGTGGACTTTGATGATTGCATCCCTGTGGTGTGTTGTTTTTGTTTTGCTTTCCAATGCTGGTGATTGGATCTAGGGCCTCACAAACTGCTAGGCAAGCACTCTCCTGAGATAAAACCCCATCCCATCCATGGGCTGGGTAGACATTTCCTTTTTGTCTTCTGCACCTCCTGCAAATTGACAGTGTATTAAAATTGATGGCATAAAAATGGATTTCTGTTGTTTAACTTGGATCGTAAACATGACATTGTCTCCAGGACAATGAATGCATTGAGACAAAACTATTTATTCATGTGTGCATGAAGTCTAGGTAGGATTATCAGAAAAGTTCTAATATTATTTATGAAATGCTCCTGAGAACATAGATGTACTTGTAGATAGTTGTTTTAATAGTTGTTTAATAAAGACTCATCTCAGTGACTAGATAAAGTTCATGTGAGGTTACATCTGGAATCTTTTAAATGGCTTACTAAATTCAAGTTATCCTAAGAGGAAAAGTTAATAAATTAAATAGAATTATAGAGCCTTTTAATTTATAAAGGCTTTTTTTTGTTTGTTTGTTTGTTTTTTGTTTTTTTGAGACAGGCTTTGGAATGACCATGTTGGTCTCAAACTCACAGAGATTCCCCTAGTCCCCTGCTTCTGCTCCCCACCCCCACCCAGTGCTGGGAATAAAGGCGTGTGCCATCACTGTCCTGCCCTACAAAAGGTTTTATACTGTGATTATAAAACCTTGCATTTTTGTTAAGTTGGACCCATTCAGTATTTTTTTGTTAAAATAATATTCTTCATTTATCAGTGGCTATTTATGAGTTATGCTTTCCAGGTACTAGGCAAAGCAATGAGGGATGCAGCATCAAATTAAACAATGTGTTCTCTGTTCTCATGGACCTCCTGTATTAGTGTCTTAAAACTACCCTGTACATTCAACACAAATTAATTTAAAGTGAGAAATTAGGAAAAGTAGAAATTGGTGGTTTATGTAAAGTCAGGTGATGGGCTGAGTTGAGGCATTATTGCTTCAGTGGATCAAGTAATGCCAACAGGACTTCATTTAGTCTCTTTTAGTCTTCTTTTCCCTGTAATTACCTTCCCTATTTGTGCCTTTGGTAGCTCCAGTGATGCATCCTAGCAACAACTCAACTCTATCAGAAAGCTCGTTTCTTCTAGTAATTCCAGCAGGAGTCCAACCTTTTAGTCTCATATAGTCAGC